ATAGAAGGCTTTTAGAAGTAAATTGCAGTGGAACCAAGACTAGTGAGTTGGTTAGGAATTAAGGAGGATGAAGGTGAAGAATATAAAAGGGTGGGGAGTTTCACTGCACAGAGGAGAGAGAGTGGAGGGAATAGTAATTCAGTTTGGGTTGGCTTAGTTACAAGGTGTTGGGAGTCATGTTGATAGAATGGGCTTGAGTGTAAACCTAGGTTTATACTTGATTCAATCAAAGAGATTCAGTTAAGAAAATAATCAAAGGGTCTTTCCTCCTTTTTTTATCTTTTGAAGTTCATGGAATCCATTTGTACCATATTCTCCGAATCATTGTAACAGCTATCTTTCATATACCAGAACTTATTTTCTTCCATCTCCCCAGGTGATTTTAGCATCTGGAACATATTCTGTTTCCCCTCCATTGCCCATCATTATGCTAAGTAATATCAACTTCCCCTTCTTATGCCTCCATGTCTCTGTGCTCTAGGATGGTACTTGTTAAACCTAAGGCTCAACCTCACCACTTACTACTGTGTAATCTTCGATATATGCCTTAACCTCTCTTTGCCTCAGTTTCCTTATGAGAACCTCTAAAATATCCATCATAGTCTTGTAAGAATTAAATAAGGTCATGTAATGAAAACACCTGGCCTGACTTTGCAGTGCAGTAACAATTATTTCCTCTCATTATAATTATCTAAATTACTCCAGGTTTAAAATGCCTCTTGCTACTGTTTGGAGCGATGGTTAAACGCTCAGCTGCTAACTGAAGGTTGGATTTGAACCACCAACCCCTCTGTGGGAGAAAAATCTGGTAATCTGCTCCCATAAACATTACAGCCTAGGAAACCCCATGGGGCGTTCTACTTCGTCACGTGGACTCGCTGTGAGTCAGAATTGACCCAATGGCACACAGCAACAACAACAACAGTTTGGAGCAGCTTGAAAGAGGAAAACCAAAGACGAACTGTATTATCCTGAGACTTCTCTCGGAGGTGGCTGCTCTAATTCTGGGACAAAGCCCATTTTGGAGAGCACCTCATAGTTCTTTGATTGTTAGAACGAGGAGTCCAGCATTTAGGCTTTCTCTTTACCAGCTTTTACAAATTCAAGAAGCACTACATTTTAATGTTACAACAGCATATATTTCCTTCTCTCGGGATGCTATTCTCTTCCTTCTTCTCAGTCCCTCTCCTCCATCTTTCCCTTCCCCCAAGTTGCAAAAAAAGAATCCAAACTCTGGTCATCGCACATACCAAAAGATCATGGTAGGCTGACTAATTTTGCCCAGGCTTTCTGCAAAAGCTCCACATGTGCTGTAGTTTTGGGTTGCATAATTGATTTAATCTCTGCTTTGAGAGGAACACTGAACTCTTTTTGTGGGATTCTACATACATGTCTCTAGGGCAAAAACTGTCCTACTTTTTTCTCTCTACTATCTGTTTAGTGCTAGGCCATTTTTTCCCCGCAAGACTCTAAACTACCCTCCGTGAAATAAATGAAATCACAGTTGGAGAACAGCTTACTGGACAGACTTATAACTGCAAGATAAGAGCTACACCACACACATTTGCTTTAACATTCTCCTCTTCCCCTGCTTCCCTTCTTTCTGCTCTAGCACATCCTTATTTTGGCTGAGACGTTACATTAGGGGCTCAGTTGGGGACTGGCATTACCTACACAGAGTGACGGCAGTACATTCAGCTCCTCACCGGAAAAGCACAGGCTGTGTGTTCTAGTCCTTGCTCATTCATTGACTTACTGTATGACCTTAGGCAGATTTGCGTACTTCTCTGGGTCCAGCTTTCAACAGTCCCTACTAGAGTAATGCATGTGAAGGCTGGACTGTAAAGATAGATATGTAGTAGGTCATAAGCTTGCAATTAGCCTTTTGGCTATCCAGGTATATATCACATGCCAACTGGGGGTTTTGTTGTGTGCCGTCGAGTCTATTCTGACTCATAGAGACCCTATATTACAGAGTAGACCTGCCCCGTAGGGTTTCCTAGGCCGTAATCTTTACTGTATTTGGCAACCTCATTTTTGGTTATAGGCAGCCCCCAGGTTACGAATGACCAACTTTTGGACAACTTGTAACAATAAACTCATAAAGCCTATTACAGTAAGTCCCTAGCTTAAGAATATCCTACTTATTATGGGCAACTTGTACTTAAGAACAGACTGCCATAAAACATATTATATTAAAAATTTGAGTTAAATACAGTGGTTTGTAATAATGAATGCACACTTTACTTTGTGACACTCACGAAAACATTACTTGGTTTAGAAGTGTTTCTTAAGTGTTTCATATGCATCAAAAAAAAAAACAACCTGTTGCCGTCGAGTGGATTCGACTCTTAGGGACCCTATAGGACAGAGTAGAACTGCCCTATGGAGTTTCTAAGGAGCGACTGGTGGATTCGAACTACTGACCTTTTGGTTAACAGACAAGCTCTTAGCCACTATAAAATATATACTATATACTAAGACAGACATTTGATTAACTCACACTAAATAAGTACTGTATGTACCTGTTCCAACTTACCTACAAATTCCACTTAAAGACAGAAACAGATCTCGTTCATAACCCAGGGAATGCCTGTATTTTAAAAGGAATTTCTAACTTAAAAATGTTGCGTTGATATAAGGTGGTTTTTGTGAACCTGTCTGAAGCAGTATATGTAGTTTGAGGATTACCTTCTCACTAGTTACTTTTTGAAAAATTGATCTCATTTATTACCTTCCTTACTCTCAGATATATTTTCCAATGAAAATAACCTTCTCTAGGTCCATACTCACTATTTCAGCAAATTCCCCAAACAATTGTCAGACTATGAAAGTGACCAAACTGCACTGTTTACATCAGTGGTATAAAATCAGAGTTTAATTACTAACTGCTGTCTGAGTTGTTGTTGTTATTGTGTGCCCTCAAATCAATTCTGACTCATAGCAACCCTATAGGACAGAGTAGAACTGCCCCCTAAGGTTTCCAAGGCTGTAATCTTTACGGAAGCAGATTGTCACATTGTCACATCTTTCTCCCACGGAGTGGCTGGTGGGTTCGAACTGCTGACCTTTCTGTTAGCAGCTGAGTGCTTAACCACTGTGCAACCAGGGCATACTGTTAATGGGTTTGTCCTTACACCACTAAAAGAATTTAGGCTTAGAAAATAATCTATTACTTGTTTAACAAAACACTTAGCATAAACAGAACTTTGTTCAAATCCAGACTCTTACTAGCTGGAAAAATTTGGATAAGTCTTTTAACCTTTAAACTTCCTTATGAACATTTAAAATTGAGATAAAAATAGTACTTCCTTAGGTTTGTTATAAGGATTAAATGCTAAAATGCATGTAAAGCAATTTGAGAATCTAGCCATAGACAGTATATCAGTCAGGTTTTGCTATAATGATGGTGAGTAACAAAGAATCCCCAAATTTCAGTGGCTTACGACAAATATTTACGTTAGTCTCAGCTGGACTAGGCCCCAGGTCTATTAAGGTCTGCTTCATATGTCTCCTCATTCAAGGACTAGAGGCTATTTAGAGAATGTGTTTGTCCGTGGAAAAGCACACTGAAAGAAGTCTGGTAGAAACTTGCTAAGCCTCTTAAAGCTTCAGCTCAGAGCTAATGGCATACTGCCACTTCTCTCCAAATTCCATTGGCCAAAGCAAGTTACATGACTAGGCTAAATATTGGTAGCTCAGGACAGTATACTCTGCCCTAATAAAAAAGAAGAATGAATACTGCTGAACAGGAATTCAATCTCCCACAGAGAAGTTTAATGTATCTCATTTTTTTCTCTTATTTCATCTGTATGACTATTGACTCTTGTCCATGTCTATTTTATATTATCCACTTTGGCATTCCTGAAATTACATCACAATTTTCCCTCTCTATTTCTTTTAATTTCAAATTACTTTGAATGATGTACTTTCCTTTGCAAACAGGTGCTTTAGATAATCCATTAAAAAAAGAACAAAAGCTTCTGATTGTGCTTCGGGCTTCAGAGGGAGTTTTTTGTGACCGTTTCAATGGAATTCATATTGACGCAGGAACAATTGGTAAGAATATACTATAATATGTATTAAAAATGAAATAAATGTGTATGTGTGTGTGTGTGTGTGTGTGTGTGTGTGTGTATGTGTGTGCTTCTGATTCATAGAGCATCTACTAAATGCCAGGCACTCATCTTCTAGGTAATCTACATTTATTATTTCATTTACCAGCTCCCCTATGAGCAGTGTCTGTTTTACAAATGTCAAAAATTAAGGCTCAGAGAGGATGAACAGTATGCAGAAGAACTCACAACTTTATATATACATATATATCTCCAAGTTCTGTATCTATATATCCAGATCTCGGATTTGTATCCAGACTGGTCAGACACCAAAGTCTGGAGTAAAAGTCTATGCTATCAACTATAAATAAAAATACCAGTTGCCATCAAATCAGTTCCAACTCATGGTGACCCCCTGTGTGTCAGAGTAGAACTGTGCTCCACAGGGTTTTCAGTGTCTGATTTTTTGGAAGTAGATCACCAGGCCTTTCTTCTTAGGCTCCTTTGGGTGGATTTGAACCTCTAACCTTTCAGTTAGCAGCAGAGCACATTAATGGTTTACACTACCCAGGAACTCCCAGTTAGCCATTAGAGTGGTCTATTTCTCAGCTTTTAAATGAGTATGATGTGGTATAGCATTCATTTCTCTATAGACCCTCAGTTTCACAGCCATCTGAGATAGATTTGACCTGATGTAAAATAGAGCACTTTTTCATTTTCTGATAAAGTGGACACATTCATATATAGTTTCTACAACATATATTTTGCACATTAACCTCAGGAATGCATTTTACTTGTGTGTCCCTTAATCCGTCTGAAAGATTTTCCTACTCATATGTTGTGCCTTCTATTTTCAGGGGTTTATGGAAAAGTTCAGCTTCACGGTGCTTATCCTAAGAAACCCTGGACACATCTTGGAGCTGACATTGCTTCAGGAAATGAGAGGTAGGAAATAAGAGTAAGTTAGGAATGTATTTGTTTTTTTCATTTTATTTTGCTTCTGCTTGAGGTTTGGTTACAACATGAAATTAAATTAAGAATCATAATTGATTAAGAATCATAATTCAGGATGAATAAATAGAAAAATAAGGGACTAAAGGGACAAAAGTAATCTCTATGTTGTAATAGAAGGAGAACATAGCAAGTAAAGACAGGGGAGGAACATAGTTTATTCCAGGAGTATACTTAAGATGATACTTGTTTACTGTTCATAAAATCCCAAAACATCTAGATTCTATGAGGCAAGAGATAAAAGATGGCGTGAAAACACAATAGTCGGAGGTGAAAAGGTAGCTGGTTTAGGGAGAGACAGAAGTAAAATGGTAGTGAGATGAAGCATATGAGGAAACTTATGGAATTTAAGATGCAATAACAGAATTTAATAATGCGTCAGAGGCAGTAAAGGACAGAATCACTACTACATCAAATTGAATAGCTAATACGAAGAATAAACTAGAGCACTACCTGAACGTGGAAGACAAAAACTGAGCGAAAAACATGATGAAAGAGAAGGTATTAGAAACAGACAACAGGAAATGGAAAGTCACACGTAGGAAATTATTCTTCTTTAGTAAGAGACTAGAATAACTACAACAAAAAAAATAATAAAAAACTATAACTGAAAATACGCATAGCAAAGCTGAGAGTAGTTAAATTTAGCTTGAACAGATCGGTGTTAAGAATAATAATTGTTACATATCCTCATAGTAAAAGAAAAAAAAGAAAAACAGAGGGGAAAGTAAAGCTTGCTAACTTTAGAATTCTCCTCTGCAGCACTAACTGTAGGAAGATTGTAGTGCTACATCTACAAACATTTAAGAAAAAAGGATTATGACTGAAGAATTAGATACTCTGCTAAGAACCATTAACATGTGAAAGCAAAAAAAAAAAAACATATTCTTTGCTTTGAAAGAAGTCGAAAAATGTAATAATTCTAATCAAGACATTAACCTGAATTTAAAATTCAAGAATAAGAATAGCATAAAGGACTGATGGTGAGCATTGAAATAATTTAAATATAACATGCTGTAAATATGGGTATTAAACAAGACAAATTCTAGTAATTTTCTTTTGAAAAATAAAGTACATAAAATCTGAAAAGTTAATAATTCTCAGATACAAAATGTAGGTTTAAAATCTGGGACTATAGTGATAAGAAACTGAAAATGGGACATAAATTCCTGTGGGACTTTCAGCTATAGGAAGTAAATATGAATCAATTTATTCCCTACCAGAATTTAAAATAGAATATATATTTTTTAAAATAGCTTTTATTTGCCATCGAGTAGATTCTGAGTCATGACGACCCCATATGTGCAGAGTACACCTGCTCCAGTGTTTTCAAGGCTGTGGCCTTTCTGAAGCAGATTTCCCAGGCCTCTGGCTGGATTTGAACCGCCAACCTTTCAGCTAGTAGTTGAATGCTTAACTATTTGCGCCACCTAGGAACGGCAGGAAAATAGAATGTATGCCTTCCAAATCACCAAGGAAAAAGGAATGAAAGAAATTATAAAATAACTAGTAAAATAGGAAAAGAAAAGAAAATGAAATAGTAAGAGAACAAAAACAAAAGCCTATAAAAGATAACAGAAATAAGAATAAATCCACCAATTATAGAAACAAAATATACTTACTGAAATGATCCTGTATTGAAAAAAGAGGTTGAAAATTAAAATGTAGTCATATATATATATTTTTTTTACCAGAGGTAAACTTAAAACCAATTCAGAAAAAGTTGAAAGTTTAATATTGGATAAAAGTGAATCATTTAAATGGAAGCAGAAGCCTCAAAATTATTAACAAAAAAGTAAAAATCAAAATAAAGGTATAAAATTGGTCAAATAAATACATTTTAGATTAATAAAGACTTCATTCTCCAGAGAAACTTTAACAGTCAGGAAACTTCTATATCAGCTAACATAATATAGAAATATATAAAGCAAAATCTCTCAGAAATATGACGAGAATTGACAGAAACAAATAGTAATGAAAGACTTTTACTTACCTGTTTCAGTTCTTCTGGCAGTCCAGGGAATATTCAACATTCTTCGCCAACACCATGATTCAAATACATTAGTTCTTCTTCGGTCTTCCTTATTCATTGTTCAGCTTTCACATGCATATGAGGCAATTGAAAATACTGTGGCTTGGGTCAGGCGCACCTTAGTCCACAGGGTGACATCTTTGCTTTAGAACACTTTAAAGAGGTCTTTTGCAGCAGATTTTCCCAATGCAATATGTTGTTTGATTTCTTGACCGCTGCTTCCATGGGTGTTGATTGTGGATCCAAATAACATGAAATCCTTGACAACTTCAGTATTTTCTCCCTTTATCATGACATTGCTTATTGGTTCATTGTTTATATGATGTTGCTTATTGAATATACCATGGACTGCCAGAAGAATGAACAAATCTGTCTTGGAAGAAGTACAGCCAGAGGGCTCCTTAGACGCCAGGATGGTGAGACTTGGTCTCACGTACTTTGGGCATGTTATCAGGAGGGACCAATCCCTGGAGAAAGACATCATGCCTGATAAAGTAGAAGGTCAGCAAAAAAGAGGAAGACCCTCAGCAAGATGGATTGACACAGTGGCTACAACAATGGGCTCAAACATAGCAATGATTGAGAGGATGGCGCAGGACCAGGTAGTGTTTTGTTCTGTTGTACCTAGGGTCACTATGAGTTAGAACTGACTCAACGGCATCTAACAACAAGAACAACTTTCAATTCTTAACTGTTTAATTAGGTTTAAAAAGCTATAGAAAACATCAAAACTATAAATAATAAAGTCAATTTAATTTATATAGCTATCAAACTCTTTACCTCAGAACCAGAGATTATACACATTTTCACTGCCAATGGACTATTTACAGTATGTGTGTGTATAAATGGAAATTATATATAATAAAATTATTATGAATTATATTTAGTTTAATTATTGTATTTAATAAATATGATAATTCTTTTACTAAATTACTATTTAATTAAATTTAATTATTTTAATAAATTTTAATAAAAAGAAATGATATAGGATACAATCACAATATAATAAGCATAAAGATTAAAACAACATATAAACCAAAAATCTTAATCTCTTACAAGATAAAAAGAAAACTCCTCCTAAATAACTTTTACATCGAAAAGAAATTCAAAACTTTATCTACAGAATACATGAGAAGTAACAACGATAAGAGCACTATACATGAGTTGTGGCCAAACGTGCCATCATATTAAATGCTTTCATTGTTGAATAAGAAATTACAGAAATAAAGACACTAAGCTGTCAATATGAGAAACCAGATGCAAAATAATCAGTAAACCTAATCGAATCAGTCAGTGCAGGATGAAGGCAGACATTAGTGAATTAGAAAGTAGGAAATAGACTTGAATTTGTTTTAAAGGGATAGTGGCTTAATATTTAACTACTTTAATCATACAAAGAAAACAGTATATAAAATCAGAACTAAGAATTCAAATTAAGTACAGAAGAGATTAAAATTGTAGTATAAAAATGTGTATATCTATATGTTGTCATTAGGAGCCCTAGTAGCTTAGTGGTTAAGAGGTTGGCAGTTTGAATCCACCAGCCGCTCTTTGGAAACCGTATGGGGCAGTTCTACTCTGTCCTACAGGGTTGCTATGAATCAGAGTTAACTCGAAGGCAACGGGTTTGTTTGTTTGGTTTTTGGGGGTTTTACGTTGTCATTTAGAAACTTTTGAGAAAAATGAATTATTTATAGGAATATAAATTATCATAATTATCTAAAGTAGAGTAATACTGAAAGAATCAATAATAGTGAAAAACATGAAGTTATCAAAGGTTTACTCCCAAGAATATATTTGGCTCAAATTTATATCAAGTTCTTTCAGTCATTCAAATCAGACACTTCCAGTGTTATATAATGTATCCCATAGCATAGGAAAATATGTCAAGCTTCTCTATTAATTTTAGGAAGTAAGCATAAAACTAATTTTTAAAACAGTTGCTAAAAACAACTAAAAAAAAAAAAAAAAAGCAAACTAAGACAACATCCAATTGTAAATATAATATAAAAAGCCCTAAATAAAACAGCAACAAATGAAACGCAATAATGCATTAGAAGAAAAAAAAAGTCACGATTTACAATTCAAGTAAACAAGGATGGTTCATAATGAAGTAATCCATTAATATAATTTATCTTAACACTAGACATAAAGTTTTAAAACATGATTATCTGGGCAGAAAACAAAAAGTCATTTATAGATTCAACATACATTCTTGGGCTAAACACTTATTAAATTAAGACTATAAGAAAGCTAAGGATCCCTCGTGGCACAGTGGTTAAGCACTCAGCTGTTAACCAAAAGGTCAGTGGTTCAAACCCACCAGTGGTTCTGTAGGAGAAGGATGTGGCAGTCTGCTTAGGTAAAGATGTACAGCCTTGGAAACCCTATGGCACAGTTCTACTCTGTCCTATAGGGTCGCTATGAGTCAGAATCAACTTGATGGCAATGGATTTTTTTTTTATCATCATCAGAAGAGAAAGCATAGAAACAGACTCAGGCATGTGGTATTAATCTGTGCTAGAATAATTGGAAATATAAAATTAGATTCTCACTCTATGTTTTACTCAAAAATAAATTACAGATGGATTAAAAAAAGAATGTAAAAAATTAAAACCATAAAATAACTTAAAGAAAATTTAAGTAAATATTATGTAATCTTAAACTAGGGAAGATCTTTCTGATCATAACGAGAAAGGCAAAAACCATAAAGACAAGAACTAAGAGATTTGAGAACACACACAAAAAAAAAAACTCAAAATTTCTCCATGTCAATAGCTAAATGTAAATGAAAATTATAAAATGGAAAGTTTCTGTAACAATATTACAGATGGAAGACTAACATTTTATATGTAAAGAACTCTTAGGAATAAAAAAAAAAAATTATGAACACACCAGAAGA